CCCCAAAACCCCAAAACCCCAAAACCCCTCAATCAATAATTCAAAATTATGAAATCAAGCATAAATTAATATTTCATTAGAGGTTTTTCATTATTTTTTTGAGCTTTATGATTCTCTATTTTTTATCTTTTTAATAAGATTCATCTCTTTTTTCATGTAAGTAGAGCTTTTTACCTTTGAGATCATTTACTATTTTTTGATCTTCTTTATCTGCCTAATCTAGTTTGAATTCCTCAACTAATCTTGATTTTAAAGATTTGTTCATTCTTGCGAGGACTGGATGAGATATATTTTCTAGTTCCTGTATGATTTATTTACCTTTTTCTCTATACCCCTTCTCGTTCAATTTTAATAAATCTTAATCATGAACAAGCTTCTCTTTTTCCTTTTCATCATAGATCAAGAGATTGAGTTTAGGATTGAAAAAATCTATAGAATGCTAGGCTGATTTGCCTCTTGAAGAGTTTAAAAGTTAATTAGTTAATAATGTTGGTGGCTTCTTATTTGAAAAAGCTTAAGATTTCTTTAAAGTTATCCTGATTTTAGATGTCTTCTTAAAAGTACCATCCGAGTTTAGCTCTTCCTATATTACAAAAAATCTTCCTCTTTCCTTATCTAAATTATTCACAGACTTACTGACATCATCTATACTTTCCTTAGTTCTCAAGTAAGGAGAAGCAGCACTAGTACTTCTCATAGCGACGCTATCTCTATCAATTGTTGAATTCGCATTTAAGTTTTAATTCTCTTTTTGCACTTTAAATAATCCTCCCTGCTAGTGAGCTCTTTGTAGTATGGACATACCTTTCATAGCTACTTTTCTTGGCTGAGTATTTTACTTTCTTTTCTCTGTCACATATCTTGTGAAAAGTAATTTTGAGAGGCCGACTTGTCTTTCACTGTGATCTCTTACAACATGCTTTATATGATGAGATTTATTGACTGGTGAATCTTGTAAAAGCAGGTTTTAAGCTTTTTGAAACATAGGAGAGCATTGGTAGATATTGAATGTGCTTTTATTTTACCTGAATTCTGAGCTAGATGCACTCAATATTGTTTTGTAATTGATCATATCTTGTTCTGTCTCCTGAATTTCCTAATAATTAAAAATCCCTTCAAGAAAATACACTTACAACCTATAGCTATTTCTTAAATAGAGGTGGTTTGGCCATAGAGGTATTATTTTTCATGTTTCTGAGCATACTATGACCCATAATCTTCTTCTAATCATTGGCTTCTCTATCAAAAATATTCATCAGATCTCTACTCAGTACATCAACCTCTTTCTAGTTCTCAGATTATTGCTATAGCATATTATATTACGAATATACGATACTTAATCTAATGTGATCATCGAAGCAAGTTTCCTAGCAAATAACTACCTCTTAAGATGATTATTTTGAGCTTAGATAAGCTAGTTATTTTAACTGTTCATTTGAGGTCGAGAAAGTCCATCATATAAAATCTTCTATTTTTATTGATAGATGTATTCTTGAGAACAGTTAAGCCCAAGTATTTCTCTGTGCATGATGGAGTACAATTGTATCTATTCACCAACATTCAAAATATTCTTGCCATTTTTTAGCCTCAGATCCATGGCAATTTTAATAGCCTCTCCCATCTGAAAAGGTAGACTATGTATTGGTAATTAAAAATCAAATTTAACTAATATAAATAGATAGATGAGATCAAATTACTTACATTTTGACAATTTTCTCACGAACTTCAATGTCTTACTTGTTGACTCCCATAAATAACTCCATATAGTGTTTATTCATGTGGCTTCTCAATTTGTCAACTAAAGTGATGGGTATCTCAATTGTCTGAAATTTTTCAGCCATATAGATCCAAAACAGATAAATGAATATTTTTCTCACTCTATTGATGTTATATTTGTATGAATTCTTGATCTTTTGGTATAGATTATTTCGCTCTCAGTATAAGATAAGATTCTTTAAGCTTTTCATTACAATTTTTAATGACTTGTGAAATAATGGGATCGGAAGTACATTATTTCTATATTTCAATCTGCTTATTTCAAAGATGGCATTATCATTATTCATCAATTCCTCCTGCTTGAAAAGTCTTTCCCTAAGTTACATGACAAGTTTATTTGAATGTTGGAGTTCCTCAAAGAGTCTCTATTTTTCGAGTCTCTCTATATCAGCTTCTTCAAAACTAAATTCATCCTCTTTGTTTTACAGACTTCTCTATGATCGTTGAAAACTTCTAGACATGGCAATTACTAAAATATTAATGCTCAAATTTTATATTTTTTCAAAACAATTTACATGAAAATTATTTCAAATATACTCTTGCGGGGTTTTGGGGTTTTGGGGTTTTGGGG